TATGATGACTACACGCTAATGTCACGTGTAGCCCCTCATTGAGGAGTGTTTACCGGACATTGTGTGGGGTGATCCTGTAGGCTAAACAACCTAGGACCCCTCCTTTCCCAAATCCCTTCTGTTTTAAACTTTGTTTTATATGTATACAACTTGTTCAAAACCTTTGTCCTATTATTTGAGTTATACTACGTCCAACGTGCTTTACTTGCAAACTATTTGATTAAACTACTTATTTGCTAAAGGACTAATTCATAAATATAAGTTCGGCCACGACCCACCATTGTGGAACGAGAGGGGTGCCTAACACCTTCCCCTCAAGGTTATTTCGAGCCCTTACCCTAAATGGTAATGCAAACCAATCCAAGAGTTAATCGCTCTAGGTGCCCTAATGCACCATAATTCGTTAGGTGGCGACTCTTCAAAATACCCAATTCCCAAAAGGAAATGAGTTACTACCCCCATGAATGTCAAAAACCCGAACCTTCTTCCCCGTAAAAAGGGAGGGAAAAAGGGGGCGCGACAGCATGGCGACTTTTTCGGAATCATTATTTTGGAAAGAGACAGTCAATAGTGAAGTAAAATCCATATTGAACAACCATACATGGGAATTGGTTGATCCTCCTTCTGGAAATAAACCTTTAGGTTCTAAATGGATTTTTAAGAGGAAAATGAAAGATGATGGCACTATTGATAAATTTAAGGCAAGACTTGTAGTCAAAGGGTATAGACAATGAGAAGGTCTTGACTACTTTGATACATACTCTCCAGTTACAAGAATTACGTCCATACGAATGTTAGTAGCATTAGCTGCAGTTTCTGGTCTTGAAATTCATCAAATGGACGTTAAGACGGCCTTCTTAAATGGAGATTTGGAGGAAGAAATCTACATGGAACAACCTGAAGGGTTTGTGGTTCCAGGTAAAGAAAAGAAGGTATGTAGACTTGTTAAGTCCCTTTACGGACTAAACAAACACCCAAACAATGGCATGCGAAATTTGACCAAATAATGTTGTCAAATGGTTCTAAGATAAATGAATGTGATAAATATGCATACATTAAAAATGTTCCAAATCACATAGTCATTGTTTGCTTATATGTGGATGATATAATGATAATGAGTAATGACATTGCCAACATAAATGCGACTAAGCGTATGATAACTAGCAAGTTTGATATGAAGGACTTGGGAGTTGCTGATTTAATTCTAGGGATTAAGATCCATAAGACTCCTCAAGGTCTGGCATTGTCACAATGTCATTATATTAAGACGGTACTTGAAAAATTCAAGCACTAAGAGTTTAAAGTTGCAAAGACTCCAATTGACGTGAATCTTGCATTAGCAAAGAACAAAGGCCAAAGTATATCACAATTGGATTATGCTCGTGTGTTGGGATGCTTAATGTATATCATGAATTGTACACGACCAGATATAGCTTGTGCTATAAGTAAATTGAGTCGATACACGAGCAATCCAGGTCAATCTCATTGGATGGCAATGAAACGAGTTTTGGGATATTTAGAACATACCCAGGAGTTTGCTTTGCACTACAGTAAATATCCTGCGGTGATTGAGGGATACTATGATGCAAATTAGATCACCGGTTCAAATGATTCTAAGTCCACAAGTGGATATGTATTCACTATTGGTGGAGGAGCGGAATCTTGGAAGTCGTCCAAACAAACTTGTATTGCCCCCTCTACAATGGAGGCTGAGTTCATAGCCTTAGATAAAGCCGGTGAAGAAGCTGAATGGCTCCGGAATTTCTTGGAAGACATTCCTTTTTGGCCCAAACTGTTGGCACCAATAGCATACATTGCGATAGTCAAGCGACAATTGGAAGGGCCGGGAGTGTTATGTGTAACGGTAAATCTCGTCATATATGACGAAGACATAAAACCGTTAGGCAACTACTCACTAAAGGAATTATCACGGTTGACTACGTAAAGTCAAGTGATAATGTGTCGGATCCACTTACAAAAGGTCTAACTAGAAAGGTAGTTGAGAAATCATCGAGAGGAATGGGACTATGGCCGAGAACAAGTCATTATGGAGGTAACTCTACCTAAAAGATTGGAGATCCCAAGATCTAGGTTCAAGGAGATTAAACAAAGTCATTAATGACGGTTCAATATTGTCAACTAAAATTTTGGTCCATTCTCGTGATGAGACAATGTTCAGTACCAAGGATAAAGCATTAAGGCTTTTTAATAATTTCTAAATTTGATACGGGTATATCAAATGGTGTATCTACGAGATGACACGTTTAGGAATCACCTATGTAAGTATGAAGTGTTAGCCGCTTCAAGGAGAATTTTATAAGGCCATTTCTCTACGCACTTATGAAATCAGGCGGTGTTCATGGCCGAAAAAAACACAATAATGAGAACCAAAGACGATTAAGGGTTGATTGTGTGACTTATGGTTGTCTAGGTATACACTAAAGTTCGACGGTTCAAAGATATCAAATCTACCGATTGACCGAGTATATCCGACATAAGTTCACTATGGAAAGTTCAAAGGGAAACCTACTTATCCAGATGCAATTAATCCTTGCTTTTTTCATGCATATTTCCGTGATATAGCCATTAAAAATTCGTGTGGGGGATTGTTGAGGTTTTAAGCTAAAATAGGCTTAAAAGAGAGTGAATAGGAAATGGAGGGAAAATGAAAATTTTAAGTTTCCTTCCTTAACAATGGGACATTGTCCCATATTGGAAGGCGAAAAGGTTTTTGATGGGTATATATACAATTGCTCTTCTTGTAGCTCTTAAAGAGTTAAGAAGAAGGCAAGCCTCGCGCCGTCGCTCGCTCGGCTCAGTGTCGGCTTCGGATCTGGTCAAATGATCGATCGATTGATTAATTCTTGTAGCTCTTAAAGAGTTAAGAAGAAGGCAAGCCTCACGCCGTCGTCGCTCGCTCGCACGGCTCAGCTTCGGCTTCGGCTTCGGATTCGGATTCGAATTTGGTCAAATGATCGATTGATTGATTAATTTTTTGGATCAAATTTATTTTGTTAATAGTAAATAATAACATAATATTATCCGTGTTTGTAACAGAAATCCAAATCCGTTTCATTGACTCTGCCCGTCCGTTTTTTGTAACGGAAAACGTTTCCTCTGCCCGTTTTGCGTAAATGGCCATTTACGTTATGGACGTTTTACGTAACTGACCTCGGAAGAGTTACAACTCTTCATTTGAACATAACAGGTTGGGGCTATAAATTGCACTCCATTCTCTCAGATTTTACAATCCAAACTCCCATATTTAATTGATGAAAAGATGATAAAATCTTGTATCGTGTAGCCTCCAATGCTCTCCAAAAGCTGCCAAGGTCAAAAGTTTTCTAAAAATCGTATTTGTGGTGTATTTATAACGTGTAGGAACGGGCCCGGACGAAACTATCCTTTTCAAGCTGAAGTAGGAGAAATACTCTATAAAATTTGCACATGCGCGGCGCATAGTGCGCCGCCCCACGTGATGCGCTTGTGGAGAAATTTAGAGAGTTGATTTTTACACTATGCAGGAAGTTTGCACTAGCGCCCTGTGCCTCGCGGCGCATGGCACAGCGCAGTAGTGCATTTTTTCCGGAGTAATATTTTTTTCTCACTTTTTGACTTCCAGATTGGTCCTCGACCCATGAACGTGGTCCCAATTTAATTCCTTGGACTTTTACTTAGACTTCAAAGCTCCAAATTGTTCGATTTAGCTCCAGATTATCTTATGAACTTGGAATCATTTCCTGCAGGGCAGAATACACATAATAAGTGCAATACACTAATATTTAAGCTAAAACACAAGTAAGATGCAGTGATTAGAGTGCAAACTGTGACTAAAACATGGATTTCTAGCCTTACTATCGATTAACTCAAAAATTACCTTAAAATATGTATGTAGATAAAACTAAATATTTTAAAACTATTATAATGATTTATATGAATACACATCAAAATCTACCTGAAAAGAAAATTATATACTTACTAATATGGATATACGCGCAAAGCACGTACCCTAAGACTAGTTCATTTTAATTGCATACAAGTCGTAGTTTTTTAGATATCCCTCCAAGGTGTCGGTGGGAGAAAATAATAACATTGTAGCTATGTTATACGAATGTTTTTAAAAAAATATCGGATTTTTATTGAAAGTTTTCATTAGTGTGTAATTTTCATCAAAATCTAAAAATATCCAATATCAATATGTGAAATTCGATATACATAATTAACTGATCTTCGAGAGATGTCATCAACTTAAATTGTATTTTTGAAATGCAATTTATAAATCGTGTTTCTGAATTGCAATTTATAAAATGCAACTAATATTTGTTTTGTACCGTTTGCGAACTAGTTATTTCTAAATGACGTAATAAATGACCAATTGTTATTTCAAAAAAGGCACCAATTGTTCCATTCAAAAGATGATATATTTTTACATTTGAAACTATTAGTCTTGTACTTCCCACTTTACCGTTAAACTTTTATATTCACACAAATATTATAACATGTCTAGCACCAAAAGCTTCAAACAATTTATAATTCAAACTATTTCACATATATACAGAAGGAGTATGCATTTTGCTATTTGCAAAATTCACAAAATATTGTAATAATAAGTGGTCAATTATTAGCTTCCTACTTTTTGATAAATAAATGTACCTCAAAAGAGAAATAAAATGATATTTCTATCTTTACCCATCATATTTTTTATTTATGTGGTTTCTTGTTAGCATTAGAAAATGTACTATGGTTGTCAATTTACAAAGTGAATTTCATAAATACAACTTATAAAAATTGCATTTTAGACAGAAACGTCATAATAGCATTTGATCATAAACCGCACAAACGTGATATAGCAGTTATAAATGCCACTTCCATATTGTTTGGAATGCGACCGAATGCGAAGTTATAAAGCGCTCAGCAGATATGCGAGTTATAAATCGCGTTCACCAATTGCGACTTATGAATCGTATTTCCGCTCAGCTCAATAAAAATAGTCCGCCGAACTGGACTCGAACTTGAAATATTGTGGCCGGTATTTGCAAACCAACACCGGCGACAACTCCAGTGACAAGTCCCGGGGTTTTTGCGCTCAGCCTTTGTTCCTCGTTGTCGTTTTTTGTCGTCATGTCAGTAGAAATCAAACTTTCCCGATCCAACCGCATCTATCGCCCTAATGTACACGAAATTATGCAAATTATAAATAAGAAAAGTAAGTATTTTTCTTGTACTTCATTTATTGTTAACGAAGTAAACTGCAATTTTCAGGAAGCAGTGGAAGGCAAAATCGTAACGAAGCTCTCTTCTTCGATTTCTCACCAAGGCATTCGACTCAATGTCAACGCTTCAGTCAACTTGCAGGTTCTTATTCCTCATATACTTTGTTGATTTCAGTACAATACATATTGAAAGAAATTCAGTCTTATGCTTTAGCTTATTCATATGTTAAAAAGTTGACCTTCAGGTTAGAGGAGGATCAGCGGGAGTTATTGAATCTATTTATGGCGTTATTAAGCCTATTCCAATACTGTAAGCATGCTTCTATTTCACTTAAGCTGCTTGCTTAATCTGTGCTCTAGAAATTTATATTTGGAATTTTGTAATTGGTTGACCATTTCCTGTTCTTTCGGGGGAATTGTAGGAATAAGACTGTTGAGGTCCTAAAATCTGGTAAGATCAGCTCAGGTACTACAGAGGTATGTTTTTAGAATTGAGTGCTGGTGGATTTTGCTGTCTTATGCTTTTTCAATTAATGAGTTCCCCCCCCCCCCCCCCCCTGCAAAATACGTACTTCCTCTCTGGTAGCACATGCCAAGGTTTGAGTTTTCCCCTCAAAGAAAATTGCTGATATGAGAACTAGAAGAAGGGAGTTATGCAAAAGAAAAAAATAGAAAAATCAGCATTCGCACGCAGTTAAGTGAAAATGCTTGTGTGGTACTTGGTTGTGATCTAACACTCCATAACGCGTTTTCTATCTCAAGTAGTTCACCTTTTTAAGAATAAGCTGCTGATATCTGGGTCAACTGGACGATAAAGGTTCCTCTATTCGTCCCTTACCCCCAACATTTTGTCCAAAAAAGAAACAAGAATCCCCTTAATTGTTCCTTATCAAAAAAAGAGTCACCTTAATTGTTCCTTATCAAAAAAAGAATCACCTTAAATTGTTCCAGTGGTCGGTTATGTCAGAAAAGTAGTTATAAACAGCAGTAGAGAAACAAAAATCCCCCAGGAATCAGGGAAAATCAAATCAATTCCTCCTCTACCAGCTAAACAAGGCAGTAGAAAAATCAGCATTCGCACGCAGTTAAGTGAAAATGCTTGTGTGGTATGTAAACAATTATGAGAAAAAGCTAAGGCAATGATTTCCCCTATTGATGGAATCCCTTCTGTTTATGCTCATACAAATTTACCCACACATCTCTATCAATCATGAACGCTAATCTTGCCGCAAATCTCTCCCGAGTAATCACAGTAATCTACTATTGCACTCTCCCGAGATACACTAGCTTGCTTTATTTAGCACAATTCAATTTAGATTGCACCCAAGGCTTCGTTATTCCTAATCCCGCCTTTAAACCCGCAATTATAGATTCCTCTAATAATTTAGGAGTGGTGTTGTTCAACAATACCCTAAATATGCACTCTTTTCCAAGTTATGCACACTAAATAGGCACAGCTAATTGAGGATCCTGTCAATTAACTACAACGAACACGAAGTTGAACAAATAAAGATTAAACTAGCAATTTGTATTCACATAAACAAGAAGTTCATCACCCAATAGGTTCCATCAAAGCCTTAGACAAGGAATTTAGCTACTCATGACTATGGGAAAATAAACTAAGATTGAATTCATCATAAAATCAAAAGAAAAGAAGAAAGATGTTTAGAGTATTTTCTCCCAATCTTTTTCCTTGCTAAGAAACCTAAAAAATCAATACATGCCTCTCTTGGGCGAAGTCTAATGTTTTAAATAGGGTTTAGGTCTAAAAATCCCGTAATTGACACTTTGGTCCCTGAAGTTTACTGCGCCTGCCGCGGTTCTACCGCGACCGCGGCAGAACCGCGGCCAAACACCCTCGCGGAATCTCAATCTTCTGCAGCTGCTTCCCACCGCGGTTCTGCCGCGGTCGCGGTGGAACCGCGGTGGATCCAGTTCTCTGAATCTTCGGCCTGTTTTTGCACGGGTCACTTAGGAAATTTCACAGTTGGCCTCTTTTTCATCACTTTTGACTCCAAAACTGCTCCTTAGCCGTCTTTATACATATATCACCTACAAATCATGAAAAGCACTAATAAGAGCATTTTGTCATCACTTTTAGCATTAAAACTACACAAGAAGGTGATTATTTAAGGTGTGATTATAGTCAAATTCACCTATTATCAACACCCCACACTTAAATCTTTGCTCGTCCTCGAGCAACTAATCCACACTTCTAGGCCTAACTGCTCAATGCATTTCCCCAATTTATGTCACACCTGCTATTATCAATGATCGACCCAAGCAGTGCACAATCATATCTCAAATGCAGACTCTCATACCAAGACACACTTGTGCTCACTCTAATTACTCTAACAGAAGTGAAGACTCACTTTTTCTTCTTGAGTCACATGCCCTCACATAAACAAAATCTGAGAGAAGTTCCACACACATAAAATTCAACAATAAGGAACCATATATAGAAAGAATTCACTCACTCTCATCAAAGAGCATTCACATGCCACACAGACACACCATAAGCTTGCCCCTAGTGTAATACTCTACTAATCGAGCCATTCAGTCAAAGATCAAGAGGTCTTTATAGGTTGTAATGTAGGCTAAGGGACGGGTAGGATATATTTGGATATAGTGACTAACCTCCCTAAGCACTTTTAATACACACTTCTTTTTTATTNGTCAGTGATGTATATATTTCGGGATGGACCCCTTGGCCGTATGAGCCATATACAGTACCGAGTGGTTGAGCATTTATATATATATATATATATATATATATATATATACACACACGCACCTAGAGATGGATCTTCTCCATGGAGCCGGAATGGCCCTTCCTCAATACTGGGTGACTTATAGTCAGTGTTGTATATGTTCTGGGATGGATTTTCCCTGGGCGTGGGCCATATATAGTGCCGAGTGGTTGAGTATGATGAGTGGAAAGTGTGTTACAGTGAGGTTGAGTACTCTAAGAGTGTGAGTACATAATTCGTCTCTGAGATACATGGCATTGGCATGCATATATGGCATACATGTATAGAGAAGCATTTTCCTCATGTAGTACGGTATCACATCATTCATGACATTCTTTGTACACACATTGATATGTGGTCATAGAGAGGTATCTCACACCTGCTATCTGGAAAGAAGAAAAGGGAACATCTTGTTTATTGTGAAAAAGGATTTTCTGAAAAAGAAATACAGTTTACAACCTATCTCATATTTCATGACGTTTTCGGTAAAGAATTTGGGTTTTCCACTGATATTCCTTAAAGGTGGAACTATTTTTGGAAAAATATGAAAAGGCTGAGCATTCTATCTCTGAGCTACTTCCTTATGTACTTGATTTACACCGTTATGAACTACTGTTGGTTATTGGTGTTGCCCAAGAACAGGTGAAGTTTTGAAGATTGACAAAAGAACTCAGACATGGACCAGGTCTATCGTGTGAAACACAGTCATGATCAACACAAACATGTGAGATGCACGTGAAGGAGATAAATCTAACTTATCAGAAGTAATATCTCCTGATCTGATCGAAAAGGTTGCATATTGGATAAGGAGAGAAAGACTCCTTACATGAAGAGAACACAGTTTAAGAAGAGGATAGAGTATGAGATCAACTAGAACTCTTCTACGATGGGAGAGTAGAATCTACATCCTAGTTAATCTCTAATCACTAACCCATTAAATATTAGTGTTGTTCTCTTTTACAGGTAATGCACATAAGCAGAAGTTAAACGTAAATTGAGAGCAAAAGAGCAAGGCGATTTTGCAAGCAATTTATGTGTGATTCAAGCGTGCAATCCTGAAGCTACTTGAACAAGATAGAAGAACCAATTCCAAGTGTCTGTCTTTTATTTCTAGTTCAATTGTAGTAGGTGATTTTACATTGTACCTTTCAGCTTTCATAGAAGCAATTGTATTAGGTACTTAGAGTTTTAAGTTAGTGTTAACTTGAAGTTGTCGCAATAGTTGAGGCTGTGTGCCACAACGGGATTAGGGTTAATCCTTAGGTTTACAAAGAGTTTTGTAAATGCTGTTTTGGCTCTGTGATTTTAGTGGAAGTTTGGGAAAATCCTACTGAGTAGTAGGTCGCGGTTTTTTCACCTTTTGAGCTAGGTGTTTTCCACGTAAAATCTCTGTGTTCTTTATTTTCTGTATTTATTATTCCGCAAACAGTAGTAGTTGGAACACCTAGAAGAACCAGGTCCTTCTATAGTTCTGATAAGCGAAAATTGGGTACCACACAAATCACGCCCCCTCTTGTGTGGTATTGACATTTAGAACATCTATTGGTGTTGGACCCGACCTATGTTCCAGCTCGTCACTACTTTCAACGTAAGGTTATGTTTGTTACTTTTTGAGGGGGTCGGTTGTACTCATACTGCACTTCCTACACATTGCGTGCAGATCCCAGATGCCGATGTTGCTGCGTTCGATGGTTGCTGAATTAGAAGGCGTACCTTCATTCTTGTTGTATGCTGTCTCTTGTTCACAGTAGCCTAGATTATAAAATTCTGTTTATGTACTTTTCAAACAAAAGATGCATTTTCTTCGTAACAGCTTTGTAAACTCTATTCTTAGAAGCTCATGATTTGTACTACCAGTCCTTGGTAAATGTAGATTTAGATATTTCTGTTGTTTAATTATTTTTATTGAGTTAAATGGAAATGGTTAATTGTTAATTGGCTTACCTAGCGGGTTGGATTAGGTGCCATCACGACAGGTGGAATTTGGATCGTGACACAATCATAATCTTTCTTATATCACCACGCGAGCCTTGCATTTATTTTGAAAACATTTTTCTCAAAATAGCTACACGCGTTTTAGACCCCTTATCTCACCGCGTAGGTTCAAGTAATTCCCTTACTAGCAACACATGTAACAATCCCGCCTTATCTCACCGCATGCGTATCAACCCTATCCTTATACCACCGCATGTGTATTATCAATAACACAACACAATAAATAACTCGCACCACACGTGCCCATATACAACACTTGAAAAAATCAAAAATACTAATGTTATCACAACATATAGCCCGCGACTCAACAATAATAGGAACAAGAATCTCAATAATAACAAAATGAATGAGACATACTCAACGAGGAAAATATAATAATAATTAACATCTTCAACCTCAATGTGTTAATAACTTTCACAACTTCAACTTCAATAACTCAAATGAAAGTATTCTCATGAACTGACAACTTCAAATAAGAATAATTCAACAATAAAAGAGGTAACAAGACAATAAGAGAGGTAACAACTTCAACTAAAGTACATAAGAGCAAACATAACATTAAAAGATAGAACATGTGCTAACAAGGTCAAATAGAGCATGTGAGGGTAAAGTTAACAATAAAAGATATAACATGTTATGACAATTTCAATTAAATGCATGGAAGAAGTCTAAAGATCTAAACCGGTCAAAATACCACATATAAGCCCGTGTACATACTCGTCACCTTGTGTACACATCTTCCACATAATTTAAATAACACAAACAACCCAAATCCTAAGGGGTTGTTTCCCCCACACAAAGTTAAGCAAGATAATTACCTCAACTAGGCCAAATCAACTATCGAAAATAGCTTTTACCCTAAAATTTGCCTCCACACGGCTCAAATCTAACCAAAAATGACTTAATATCATCAAACAATTCAAGGGAAACCAATTATGATAGATGAAGCTATGATCTTTACACAATTTTACAAAAGTCAACAAAAGTCAATCACGGGCCCGCTCGGTCAAAATCGAGTCCAATGATAGATTCCGACTACCTATAACCCCACGAGTCTATATATGTATTTTGTATTCAAATCCGAGTCCAAATTGACTCTCAAACCCAAATTTTTATTTTCCAAAACTTTGACACCCCCCCCCCCCAAATTTTCTCTTTGATTCTCACAAATTTGATGTTAAATCTAATATATAATCATGAAATATAGTTGAAAATCGATTAGAATCACTTATCCAACGATTGTAGATGAAAATCCCCTTGCCAAATCGCCTCCTACCTAGTCTAGGGTTCTAAAATTAGAGAAATGAGATGAAATCCTCGACTTCCAACCTTTTGTTCAGTTGCAGTTGTCGCAATTGCGAATAATTCCTCGCGATTGCGGTATTGACAGTCTATGTGGGAAGGATGGGCTTCGCAATTGCGAAGCCTGCTTCCCTCGCAAATGCGACTAAAGTGTCGCAAATATGAACCTACCCAGCCAGGTACTACTTCGCTATTGCGATCCATGCATCACAAATGCGATATCTGAGAGCCCTTGCTAATACCGCAATTGCGATGTTGCTGTTCGCAATTGCGACTTCAGAGACACCAGCATACCAGCAACCTGTTTCAGTTCAAAATTATTTTGAAACACGTCCGAAACTCGCCGGAGCCCTCGGGGCTCCAAACAAAACATCCTCACAAGTTTAAAAACATCACACGAACTCGCTCGCGCAATCAAAGCACAAAAATAACATCTAGAACTACGAATCGCACATCAAAACTCATGAATTTCCAATCAAAACTCAAGAATCTCTAAAATCGCAACCAAGTGCCCGAATCCTTTCTAACCAATTGCAAATGACACCAAATTTTGCAGACATGTTTCAACTAGCAAAATGATAATAGGTGAATTTGACTATAATCACACCTTAAATAATCACCTTCTTGTGTAGTTTTAATGCTAAAAGTGATGACAAAATGCTCTTATTAGTGCTTTTGATGATTTGTAGGTGATATATGTATAAAGACGGCTAAGGAGCAGTTTTGGAGTCAAAAGTGATAAAAAATAGGCCAACTGTGAAATTTCCTAAGTGACCCGTGCAAAAACAGGCCGAAGATTCAGAGAACTGGATCCACCGCGACAGCGGCAGAACCGCGGTGGGAAGCAGCTGCAGAAGATTGAGATTCCGCGAGGGTGTTTGGCCGCGGTTCTACCGCGACCGCGGCAGAACCGCGGCAGGCGCAGTAAACTTCAAGGACCAAAGTGTCAATTACGGGATTTTTAGACCTAAACCCTAGTTAAACTTAGACTTCGGCCAAGAGAGGCATGTATTGATTTTTAGGTTTCTTAGCAAGGAAAAAGATTGGGAGAAAATACTCTAAACATCTTTCTTCTTTTCTTTTGATTTTATGATGAATTCAAGCTTAGTTTATTTTCCCATAGCCATGAGTAGCTAAATTCCTTGTCTAAGGCTTTGATGAAACCTATTGGGCGATGAACTTCTTGTTTATGTGAATACAAATTGCTAGTTTAATCTTTATTTGTTCAACTTCGTGTTCGTTGTAGTTAATTGACAGGATCCTCAATTAGCTGTGCCTATTTAGTGTGCATAACTTGGAAAAGAGTGCATATTTAGGGTATTGTTGAACAACACCACTCCTAAATTATTAGAGGAATCTATAATTGCGGGTTTAAAGGCGGGATTAGGAATAACGAAGCCTTGGGTGCAATCGAAATTGAATTGTGCTAAATAAAGCAAGCTAGTGTATCTCGGGAGAGTGCAATAGTAGATTACTGTGATTATTCGGGAGAGATTTGCGGCAAGATTAGCGTTCATGATTGATAGAGATGTGTGGGTAAATTTGTATGAGCATAAACAGAAGGGATTCCATCAATAGGGGAAATCATTGCCTTAGCTTTTTCTCATAATTGTTTACAACCCTTTTTTTTACTTAGTTACAGCCATTTAGTTATTTGCAAGCTAGTTATTAAAGAACACTCAACTGAGATTTGAATATTTGGGAAGCTGGTTCTGAAGACTTAGTGGGTCTGAAGATAGCGGTTGATAGGTTAACTCTCTGTGGATTCGACCCTGGGCGTAATACTCGGGTTATATTTGCAACGTCCGCAGAGTCCTTTTTATAAGGCATAGTTGGGCGTGATCAAATTTTGGCGCCGTTGCCGGGGATGTTGTGATCTAACACTCCATAACGCGTTTTCTATCTCTCAAGTAGTTCACCTTTTTAAGAATAAACTGCTGATATCTGGGTCAACTGGACGATAAAGGTTCCTCTATTCGTCCCTTACCCCCAACATTTTGTTCAAAAAAGAAACAAGAATCCCCTTAATTGTTCCTTATCAAAAGAAGAGTCACCTTAATTGTTCCTTATCAAAAAAAGAATCACCTTAAATTGTTCCAGTGGTCGGTTATGTCAGAAAAGTAGTTATAAACAGCAGTAGAGAAACAAAAATCCCCCAGGAATCAGGGAAAATCAAATCAATTCCTCCTCTACCAGCTAAACAAGGCAGTAGTATTACGCGTCATTGCTGATACTTATCAGCAAACGCACAGTCTTAGGGAGATTTGGGCTCCGAAAGTGACATAATGATTCAAGGAAGACTGTGAAAGCGAAGGATGAATCTTCAGAATATTACACTTGAGGCACAAATTTAAAGATTAGGTCCAGTGAAAAAATGCTCGATCAGTGAAATGCAACTTTTTCATTGTCCTATGTTCTATATGGCTCTATATTTAGTTATAAACTATTCATCTTGAGCCATTCATTGTGGTTGTTTTTTCCTTTTGCTTACTCCTTTCGAGTCCCTGATTATTCTTTTTGCTGCCTCCGTAGATTCCATTTTCTTTCATGTTGAAAGATCCAGGAGAAGAACCTTTGGAAAAACTTTATGAAACATATCATGGTGGGGACATTAGCATTCAGGTAAATTTTGACAAGAATTTGCTGTGTCCTATATCAATCTGTTTCAGCTTTCTTGTTTTGATGTCTATTTTATACCAATGTAGTATCTGGCATCTGTAGACATTTCGAGAGGATACTTACACAAGTCTCTATCTGCCACAGTGGAGTTCATAATTGAAAGTGAAAAGGGTCTGGACCTGATCTCTCTTTCTTCCTTGTCTTTTGTATGGTTTGTCTATATGTTCTCCTGTACATGAAAAGCACTAAATCGACCTTCCTATAATGTCTAATTCAGAGAATCTTCCAGAGAAACCTATTTCTCCTGAAGTGGTCATGTTTTATATCACCCAAGACACACAGAGGCATTCACTACTTCCAGAGCTAAAATCAGGTCGCACTTGTTTCTTTTCTTCTTTTTTGGATACGTAATCAGGTTCACTTGTTATAGATCAGCAAATTCATTTCTGAACAGGAAAACAGATTCTTGTTAAATTGCACATTTGCATTTATATCTAAACTTGGATACAATTAAAAGAGTAGGTTTGTATAACCTCTTGCTCATCCCAAAAGTTGGTAGAAACATAAAAAAGAAGAAAACATCTTTTAACAAAGTTTGTCGTAATGCCCAAACCCAAAGGAACTTGGTGGATTATGATATGGATAACTACATAGTAAGGTGTTGTTTGATTTCCCATTTAAAATCATATTTAATGAGTGTTTGTTGGAGGACAAGAAAATGCCTGTTAAGCTCTGAACTGTATTTGGGCATTCGGTTCCAAAATGGGATGGCCGTATTGAACTCCATGTTTACTCACCATTTTCTATCCACTTATATAGGTTCCATAGGAGGAGGATAACTAAAACCGTTGTATCAATCAGATGAATGATGCGCCCAAAAAGTATTTGCAGTGAATATCCTAGAAATCTGTGTGCTTTTTGGAATTGGGAAATGTAGATTTTCAAGAAAAGAATCATAAGATATGACTTGACATAGTGTTGAATAGGGCTTTTATCGTTCTTAATCTTAGTTAACCCGTGGAATAGTAAAATCCCAAAATATTTTATAAATCAATCCTGGAAGAAAACCCTTGTTGATTTTATGCTTCACGTCCATTATCATGCCTTGATATGTGGCACATTAATAGAAGACAGACTAACAGTTGGATGGTTGCAACTTTTATTGTGAATAGGGGGATTCAGGGTAAGCGGTAAAATATGCACATTATGTTCTTTGTCGGATCCTATTGAAGGTGAGCTAACTGTTGAAGCATCTGCTGTTCCTATCCAATCCATTGACATGCACTTGCTGCGAGTGGAGTCAATTTTGGTCGGGGAAAAAATAGCAACTGAATCTTCTCTGATACAGACAACTCAGGTATGGACTGCTCCTGTGTTTCCAAGAAATTCTTTATACCATGTTATTTTTACTGATTGTACAGGAAACTTGTCTTGTTTTTTAGATAGCTGATGGGGATGTATGTCGAGGCATGGCTCTTCCCATCTACAGTATTCTTCCCCGCCTTTTGACTTGTCCGTCAATCTTTGCTGGGTATGTGTTTGATCGAATTTACATCTTTCTTGTTTACAAATTCCCAAGATTCTTGTTTGCTAGGACCTTTGTGGCCTTTCAAAAGTATCATCTCGTTGGTACATAGTACATAAATGTAATGGAGAGCATGATGGATTCCAAATCATGCTTGCAAATGAGTCAGTTCCAGATTTAAATTGCTCTTCTAGACCATACCGAGGACGAGTGCGTTCATTCATTTATCATATTACCGACTGCAGGCCTCTATCTCATGTTACCCAAAGCAGATTTACTGGAAACTTTCTGATAATTAGATATCAACAAAAAGAGAGTTGGCCCAATGTATTTCAATCCATAGAAGTTGCTCCTTTTGTGTTTTTATTTGAAGATGGTTTGTGTGAGGAACACATGGAAACTGATATTTTTATGGAGGGTATTTGTGAAACTTTCAACAGAAATCTATGACCGAAGGCTAGGAAAGTTTTCTTTTTGGTTTGTTTGACATGCTTGCCTTATCAATACATGTGGGGATTATCTTTCTGCTCTTACCATTACTAGTTGCCAAATGGCTGATATATTCATCTTTGCAGTCCATTTTCCCTAGAGTTCAAAGTTACCATTGTAATAACCTTTCAGTCAGTGCAATCGAAGTTGCATCCAAAATCCAATTTCAAAACTCTTAGATCATGGGTGAGCATCTCTGTATCTCTGCCAATAGTTGCACATATGTACTGTGTCTAAAGTCGTCATCCTCATCTGTAGCACGCAGCAGAAAGTGTTCCCCTTGAACTGATTCGGACAAAGTGAGATGCTGGGTCAGGTAAATTATCTGAGAGTTCTGTTGAATTGCGTTTCTGAATTAGACATCTTGATACAACTTGTGTTAGTCCTGCACATATTTGATATTAGCACCTTGCAATGTTGTTAATAATGTATAAATATAGCCTTCTTAAATATGTTCCAGGGATGCCGAGGTTTTTGTGTATGTCAATGGGTGAAAATTCGCTTACTGATATTGGCTTAGGCGCCCTGAGGATAGAATTCTGTGTGCGATCTTTCACCTCGAAGATGACTATCAAGTTCATTTGCTCAATGTTGTGGCCATGAAACTATGTTCCTGTTCTACAAGTGCAAAATTTCCAGGAGATACTGCAAGCGAGAATTGCACTTCTCGATGGACAAGGGGGGATGTGTAGATATGGGATGTGAAGATGAGTTTGTAGAAAGTACAAGAACTTCCTACTTTTTGTTTCTTTATGTGCACTAGCATTTACTACTCTACACTGGAGAAAAGATTGCTGTACACTCGGGAGCAAAATTGCCAACTGGTTTCTTGCAAGAGAAAAGAAGCTTCACAGAGTTCTGAACCTCATCTATATGTCTTCCATATTAGGCTATATAAAGTGTAGATACATAATTCTTCTGAGCTATGATACGTACCATCTTTCTCATCGATCTAATTCAATAAAACAAGGTATTGATGAAATGTAGTATAAACATTCTGAAATCACGTAAGCAGTACAGCAGTTGGACACGTGAAGATAGGTCTTCTGTTAATCAATGACCAGAAAATCTTGTGGCAAAGACTTATTTACATCTTAATTTCTCTAAATTTATTGTTTTTTTTATGTCCAAAACACAATTCTAACCCAGAGGAAAAGGGGTAGATGAGCGAGTCCATTATCCATCATCGATGCCATTGGCCCTCAGGGATTTCTCGATTGTCCAAAAAAATAAAAAAACAAGATACAAACTTAAAAATGAAGAATATTGACTGCTTGGCTTAGCCGCGTGATTAAATTTAGAAGTTTGAGAGGTGCTCACCATTCAATCAAATATTTGTAAAAGATGCTAGTTTATGTTGTTTGCCATATCTATGAATAGAAACACCAGGGAAATACTAAGAACAGGGCTAAAATTTAACAGCCGCAAATAACGACATGTCATTCACTCATCTAGAAAACCCCTCAAAAGTCTACAGAATTCAGAGCCTTAGTTTTCTCCAGATACTCAGACTTAAAAACAGTTTCATCTTAGTTCTTCTAACAAATAGGACGCAGACTTCACAAGCTAATGGAGTACCTTTATTTAGTGTATTTTTTCTTCAAAAAAATCCTAATAGCAATCTACTCAATTGAAAATTCATACAGCATGTTGTGAATGTACTTGTCACCAGGCTGAACAATAACAGAGGGGAAGTTTGGTGTGTTCACAGCATTTGGAAACCCTTGTGTCTCTAAACAGACTCCTGCATGCTTGTTATACACAGCTCCACCTTTACCGACAACTCCATTCACATAGTTTGCAGTGTAAAACTGCATGCCAGGAGCATTGGTCCATAAATTGAGAACTCTGGAGCTCTTAGGATCCTTGATTTTTGCAGCATGCTTCAAGCCGTCTTTCACGTCTCCACAGTCGAGCACGTAATTATGGTCATACCCTAAGCCAACTTGCTCGATATCACGACCGATCTGCTTTTCAGAGGTGAAATCAAATGGAGTGCCTTTCACAGGCATTATTTCTCCGGTTGGGATTATGTTCTGATCAACGGGAGTAATATGATTTGCCCATATCTGGGCTGTGTTATCAAGAATATCTCCAGAATTATGGCCACCAAGGTTCCAATAGGTGTGCTGTGCTAAACTAACAGGAGTAGGCTTATTTGCAGGCACAGCTTCCATGTCAAGTCTGAGTGTCGTCTTAGAGGTAAGTGTGTAAGTTGCGGTCACAGAAAGATCACCTGGGTAACCTGTATAACAAGGCAATCAGAGATCAAGTCTTGTGTGCCTTAGACGAGGATGCACGGATATAGGCAAGAGAGAGAGAGAGAGAGAGAGAGAGAGAGAGAGAGAGAGAGAGAGATACCTTCTTCTTCATCACGACTATGATACTTAAAGGTAATTGATGGATGTTCGCCCTCCTTGTGTTCAGCAACCTCCCACACAACCTTGTCAAAACCTTTATGCCCACCTTTGAAGAAAAAATAGTAGAGGATTAAGACTACAAGCAATAGAGAATATAACTATTGAATTACCAAAGACTTGCATCAACTGACAATATCTGGCAAATAACAATGTTTTTCTTAGCAAGAAGACTCAATTACACAGAAAGTTTTCTTTTCTTATTAGATGTTGTCACTTATTTACAATACTATAGTGTGTCACTATTTAAAAGCATCTTTATAAAACTGATAACATTCTCGCTAATCACAATCACCAGACATATGGAAGGAAAAGAAATAGGATCACATGACTATATGTTCCCAAATAGTAAAAGAATATGCCTTGAGAATTTGTCACCCCATGAAGGTATTTAACTTCCTGAAATTGGTGCAGCTCACAAATGTTCGTCAACAGATATCTTATCCATTGACGAAGCTCACGTTGTTCTAATTATGGAACACAAAGTAGGCCAATTGCCAGGTCAACCACTAATGCAATATGAATTATTAAATTCTGACAGAAAAGAATTTTTCTGAATTGCAACATTTACCACCAGTAGATCTAACAGCCAAACATCGATTGAAACAAGTACATTCTATACAATGAACTATGAAGAAATATTAGATCACCCCCACCCAACGCCTTCTTGTTGTGGGGCATCAGTGATGATCTAGCATATAAAGATCAAATTTTGGATACAGTGACATCAAATTATAGTAATTTGGACATAATTGACTTAGCTAATAGATAAAACAAGTACACAGAGTTGACAATTAAGTCCAAAGCTGAGATGGTTATGAGAAAAGTAAACAAGATCTTACCATGGAGGCTGTTTGGTGGCTTATTGATGGGTAAAGTGTAATCAACTCCATTCAGAGAGAACTTTCCTTCTTTAATCCTATTTGCCACTCGACCCACAATGCAACCAAAGAACGGAGCTAAACCTTTCTGGATTAGACAATTCAACAATTCACAAAAGGAAAAAAAAAAAAAACCTCAAAGGATCAGCCTCATTGTTAAGTGAAACAGATGCAAATTCTTCTATAACAAAAACACAAAAATCAAGACATGAAACAAATGGTTTTT